TGTATTGAACTGAATTAAGATGGATGTTTGTTTGTGCTACAACTCTTAGTTAGAAAGCTTCTGTTCTTTCGTTAAGTTTTGTTCGAAGCTACACCCACTGTGCCGCTGCTGGGCTGTTTATTTAGATGCCGCGCACAAAATTAACTTAAATATCGACACCAATTCGTTGGCTCGCACCAAATGCTAGTTCGAAGCGCCGCTGACCTCGACACATTAACACTTTTGGACTTTTGGCAAACTTTTTGGCGGCAGCAGACACAAAATCAATTGAAGATAGTGAGGCAGGCAGCAGAGCCAAATGAAAATCCATTTGAAACTAAATGCATAAATTATCAGGCAATCGGAAAATGGGGGAAACCGAAAATGGAAACAATGAGGCGGCAATTGGTTCCGAAACTTAAAACCTCTTTTGTCAACTACAGACTTTCCCCAAAAACAGACCACACCACAAAAAATAAAGCTAATGGCAGAGAAAAGGAAAAAAGGGAGAACAAAACGACTTTGTCCATTGAAAAGTTGCAGCCTTAGCTTGACTTTTCAATAAAATTTCCCTTTGCTTCAATTTGCGCCAATTTTCGCGCTACCGCATATTTTAAGCTCGACATCGCAAGGCTGGGGAGTGGGGGGAGGGGAGGAAAAGCGACAGGACTGCAACTGAGCTGGCACTGCTGCATTTTCGGCGTGAAGGACTTTTGGAAATGGCTCGTGAAATCAGCGCAGAGTGAGTTTTCCGCCCCCTAGACCAGTGCTCTGTATCTCAGCCCTCTATCCGAATCACTGCAGCTTGTCGTTTGCTTTGGTTTCTTGTCTACGATTTGCAAAGAAAAAAATAGAGAAATAAGGGAAAAAATCAGCGCTCACTATTGACATAAGGAGAGCGAAAAGGCATAGGCAAAATGGTCAGGAAAAAGAAAAACAGACGGCTGTGAAAATAAAACGAAAAGTCCTTTTTCGGATTTCTCTGGGCTAAATTGCACTTTATTTGCGGTTTGTTGATTTTATTGCAGAACTTTGTTTACAATTCTGCTTAAATTTCATTACACGATCCGAGCGCAGCTCACGACCAACCAAATAGGAGGGCTGGCGGGCAGGCGGGCAGGCGGGCGGGCGGAGGACAGACCAACATTCAAATTGAATACGAAACCTTGATATGAATTAATATTTGAGCAGTGTGGGACCGCCGCTAAGTGGAGCAGACAGCGCTCGGGCAGGCAGGCGGTTTTTTCTTTGGCTTGCCAAACGAAAAGCGACATTGGCTATATGGGTCAATAGAAAACCCCAATGCAGAGTTTAAATTTCAACTTGACAGTGCTACTTTATTGGCTGTAACAATATTAATGATCAGAGTCCAGATAAAACTATTACTCGCACAAATTCCAAGAGTCCTTTCATGTTTAAAAAACAACGAACTTTATCATGAAATGTGAGGAAATACTTTAAAAGACATGCTTGATAGAATATATACTGATAAGATATAGATATATTCGCCTGCTGAAAAAGCTCTCCAAAAATTAATAGGTAGAAACAACAAACATGGTAAGACGGTTCTATTAAGTCTGGCAAAGGGTAAGCCCATATAGGTATATTGTTTTCTACCTTCCACTCCTTCACTAAGGATGTTTTATGATAGCTCCTGTAACTGGAACTCGAATTTTGAAATCACATTATCCTTGTATGTATTATAAGAACTCGATTCAGAAAACTTATGGACTTTCCCTAACACTCCTAGTCTTTAGCATTATTTGCCCAAAGTTGACAAATATATTTAGAATTTAAACAAAACAATCACCAAGTATTGTTGACTTATTAATAATAATTAAGAATATTTAATGAAATATTACAAAACGTTAACAAGCAGGGTCTTTATTCGACTAATTTTTCACACATTTAAAATAAAATATTGCCGTTAGATTATTGTTGCAGAGAGATTTGGAAATATACGCCCATTATTATTCTAATATTTTATTAAATAGTCCAGCAAGTGTAAGCTGTTGACAATATTAAATGAATTACTAGAAAACTTTAACAAACAGGTTCTACTTGTAAGTATATTCGACTAGTATTTGAAGCATCTTAGCAAAGAAATAAAAAAGAAATTATAAATTATTCTTGTAAATTTGAAAGGGCAGATATAGGATTGTACATTTTTATTTTAAGAAGCTTTTAAATAAATAGTTTTTTATTATAAATTCTTAAAAAGGGAATAGGAAATATATAAACAAATAAATCTACTTACCCCACTCACTAGATCGGGACAGCTATGTCCCGATTACCTGCCAAGTCTAGTCAGAAACGTGAATAGATCTATAAACAAAAAATAAAGAATAAAATGAAGTTAGTAACATTTTATAATTAGTATGAATTATACTAATTGAATGAATACTCAGAATTAATATAATTATTATTATTATATTTCAAGAGAAATACCAAAGACATAGACAAAAAATAAAGAATAAAATGAAGTTAGTAACATTTTATAAAGTTTAGTTACAGTACGCAACACAATTAGTATGAATTATACTAATATTATTAATGCAAATAATTAATATAATTTTTTTTATTATATTATGTATTATAGAGAGATATCTATAGTATCTATATCAATGAGAAGATACTTCACCTCTTTATAAGCAACTGCAGCTCAAAAAAAAATAAAAATAAAAAATCAAAACAAATAAGCAAACAGGCGAGCAAACAAAGTGCCAAGCAAATTAAATAAAGCAGACCTACATCTACTACTGCTACCTACTACATACATACATACATACATACATACATACATACATACATACATGTACGTACATATATCCTATGTGTACGCTGCGCCACAGAATTTGGGAAAACGCAAAAGAACTAAAGGAACAAAACGAACAAAAAATATAGCCAAACAAAATAAAATAAAAGCCCAACACTGAGCAAGCCACTTAGACTGCGGTTTCTACAACAAGAACAACAACAATGGCGGCAATTGTATGTGTGTATATTGTTGTTGCAAGTGTAAGAGTGGATGGAGAAAGTAATGAAGCAATTGGGCAGGTCTTGATACAAAAAATAAAAAATAGAACAGAAAAACACAGCAGAAGCAGAGTGTAACAAATAAATAAAAAAAAAACCCAAATATTTAAATAAAAAGTGTATATATTTTTATACAATAGTGTGTGGGTAGCTCTTAAAAGTATGCTACAAATGAAATGTTTTTCCATAAAAAAAAATAAATAAAATTGAAATATAAAGTTAATTAATTAATTATTCTCTTGGAGACAGGTGAGCTTTAGGTATAAGTTACAACAGGGTGCAACAGTTGCATGGGCAGCAGCATGCGCACCTCCTTGTGGCAGCGCGTGTCAATCGCAAATGCTGCGTCCAACCACATCGCCAGTCATTATCGGCAGCAGCTAACAAGAGTAAGAAGAAGAAGCAGCAGCAGCAGCTGCACAACCTTCATTCATGGATACTAACCGATGGGAGGCAGCAGCAGCAGCAGCTGCTGCGACGCTTTCGACTTTCGTTCAGTTTTCCCTTATGCCAGCCCGTTAAGTTTGCATTGGAATGACAAAACAGGGATAAGTGCAATGGAAGTGGCCACAATACGAAGCCGAGCACGCCAGCTTAAAGCTTCTTTACGCTCTCTTTTCCGAAATAAGAGAGAGCAAAGCTTGCAAAAATTCATACAAGTGGCTGGCAAGAGAGCGGCGTCTAGGCCTAGTTAAAGCACTCGAAGCTGCTCTCGCACGCTCTCCCATAGAGTGTGTGCCTATGTGTGTGAGCCCTGTAGTTTTGCGTTTGTAAAAGCCATTTTTCATTCATGCGAATTTACTTTAAATTAATTTTTTTGTGGGGTCATAAATCATTTTTGCTGTATGTGTGTGTGTGTGTGTGTGTGCGTGGGAGGAGGTGTGCTTATGTATGGTGTGCAGTGTATTCGAGTGCCTTGCCAATACAAAATGACGAGCTCGAGACTCTATAGTATATACATATAATATATATGTACATATGTACTTGTATTTATACATATATATTTACTTAAATTTTATTAAATATATATATTTATTTAAATGTGAAGTGAATGCGTTCTCTTATTTTCGTATTTCTGTGAACATCTTCTTTGCCTCGACATTGTTAAAGTAGTCCTGCTTTAATACTCTAAATTAAATTAAATACTCTATTTAATTCTTTTTCAATGACCGATAACATGTTTTTAATTAATATCTTGTATTTAGATAACATTATATAATATGTATAGTTAATGTATATTGATTTCGATCTAAATATTTAATGACTAGCATATTAATTTAATTGTAACGCTAGTATTGACATTAAAAAGAGAATAAAAATAAAATAAAAATCAGCAATAATAATAAATCAGCTTTCAGAAATAAATCGTTTTATAACTGTGTCTCTTAAAGATTATGCGTGAAATTTTAAAAAGGGTTTTATTTTTACTCAATCCGTTTAAAAGTTGGAGATGTTACAAGTATATGAGATTTTCAATAATTGGATAGTTTCTAAGCAATTTTGTTTCCCAACTTGAAGTTAAATAAAAAAGCCAACGTCTTTCGTGGCTTGTGGGGACGAGCTGAATGATAATAAATGGACCAAAATTTTAATTTTCGAAGCCCATTTAATATTGTAACTTTTAATTGAATGCCACTACATACGACACATATATTCATCTAATAATTGCACATTTAGGGCAGATCTTAAATAAAGCAACAACAACAAATGATAATAACAAATGTTCTAAATAAAGGCAAAAAGACGAACGTTTGAGAGAAGTCAAGGAAACAGTAGCTGTTTTAATTATTTTTATTCACTCATCATGATCATGTCTCCTCTGATATGATATATGCACGATTCAAATACACTTCACAATCAATTAAGCTGTAAAATAAGTTTAAATTGCCATGAAATTCTGGATTTAGGTATATCAAATGTTAACCTTAACTGAATTGCACAACAAAAGACGTCTTTTCTGCGATCGAATCAGTATCTGCTGTGAAATGTTTTGGTTAACTTATTTGGTGCTCTTTGCGCCATTGCAATGGCTAAGTTCAGCACAACTGAACTATATGGATCTATATAAAAAGATAGCCAAAGTGAGGATACTGCGAGAGATGGAGTTCAACAAGCACGTTTATGAGACGCACAGTAAGGCCAGCCTCATACTTTTTATAGACTCTGACTCTGACGAAAATGTGAGAACGGCACAGGATTTCGACGCCTTAATATCTAGACTGGAAAAGTGGGAGCTCTTGCTCTCGTTTTTTGTGTTCGACTGCAGCCACAAGAACAATGCCGACCGTTGTCACGATTTAGGCGTAAAGAGGCGACCCGAACTGCGTTTCATTGGCGATGAAGGCGCCAAGCAGGCTGAGGGAATAAAATTTAAAACAACCACTGCACAGAAGAATGCATTTAAATCGCTGGATCCGAAGGATGTTCTCAAAGTCCTGCCAAACCTTATGGAAAACTACAGCTTTGAAATGAACACTGGCGTGAATTTTAGGCCAAACGAGGCAGCCTTTCGCACGAAACAAGTCTTTGGAAAACGAAATATAACCCATTTGGCAGTCGTCTGGCAGCCGGATAAGTCTACTCTGGGCCGGGACACAATCCTCGAGCTGCTCAACTTTCCCGTGCACGTGCGTACTTACAACGAGAAGGGGGCCGCTCTTGACTGGGGTATGGATGGAAAGAACCGTCTGCTGGCGGTCATTGATCGCAAAGGACATGCGGTGCACTTGGTTCCCAGAGAAGCCACTGTGGAGGCCTATGTGAGCAGCATAAAGGAACTGTTTCGTTTGAAAGGCCATCTGCCAGCTGAGCGCAGCCAAATTTATTTATTTAGAAACATTCCCAATGTAGTGCTGCTTAATGATGCTTCCAGCTTCGATAGCCTCCATCAGCCGCCACTCAGGAAAGCCAGTCTTGTGCTCTTCATAGACTCTACCTCTGAGGACAGCTGGGGAATTGCAAATCGCTACAGAATGTTGGAAATTTTCTTGAGGAAATGGCAGCGACTGCTTTCCCTCTTTGTGTTCGACTGTGCGGCCAGCCAGGCTGAAAGTTGTCGAGCACTGGGAGTCCTGCAATTACCAGAGCTCTACTTTATTTGCGCTACTGGAGAGAAACACGCGCGTTTCAGCAGAAAACTGGACTCCCTCGACTCCTCTTCAATACAAAGTGAGCTGCAAACTTTATTGCCGAATTGTAATTTCGATGAAAACCGAACGGGAGTGCATTTCCAGCCCCTAACCGATCCTTCCGCAATACAGCGCCTCTTCGGCGTTGGAAATATTGAGTATACGGCTGTGGTGTGGCAGCCGCCGAATTCTACGGTCGGACATGACACGATCCTGGGACTGTTGGCTTTCCCCGTCCACGTGCGCATCCTCACCGATCCCCAAGTAGCTGCCGAGTTCGGAATGGATGCAGGGCACAATCAAATCGTTCTCCTCGATCGTCACGGCCATAGGGTGCACTTGGCCCTCCTTTCAAAACATGAACCATTCATCAAGAGTGTGACGGACCTCTTTCAGTTTATCAATTACAAACCCAAATCAAGCATCAACAACAGCCCATACAACTATTTCTAACTATTTCTCTCTCTCTCTCTGAAGCCTTGATTTGAATTCGTAAGCAGTACATAAAATAAATGAGTCCTATATTAAAATTGCTTCTCATTTTGCTCGGAAAGAAGCCGTAGTATTTTTATCTGTTTATTGGTTTGTTAAAACTCTATACTAAGAATATTTTGTGCATCGTGTTGGTTTATATTTGACTTGTATGAAACGAATTGCTCCACTTTCTATGGCTAAAACTAGTATACCCTTTTGCCCTTTGGGTATAGGGTATAAAATCTGGAAAAATGCAAGGACTGCCGAATTATAGTCCAAGCTGGAATCTTCACACTTGCAATCTTTTCTTTTTCTTTTCCTTTCTTTTTGTTTATTTTTCTGGCAGGAGTAAGTGCCCTAAAGACCCTAGCATAGACCTAGCATAGGCTTATAAAATACTCCTATTTTTACAGCATGATGTTGTTTGCTTGAATATATTCTCTACAAATTAGAGATCGAAATTTCAAAATGCTGACTAATTTTTTTTAGAATTATGACCCATAAGTGCAACTGTATAAATGCGGCCAAGTGAATATATTATTTATTTATTTATTTCTGACAAAGAACTCTCAATTTGAAACAATTGTTACATACAAAAACAAATTTTATTAATATTCAGTCAAATATAAAATAAGAAAAAGAAAAACAAGGAAACATTAAAATTACAAAACGCTGACTAATTTTGAGGGAAGTTCATTAATGCAGCCAAGTAAATATATTATTTATTTCTGACAAAGAACTGACAAAAAAATATAAAATATAAAATAGGGGGAAAAAATTGCCATACTGAACTGTAAATTAATATTTCCTTCAAATATAAAAAAAGGGGAACATACAATAATAATAATATAAAATAATAGTTCCTTCAAATATAAAAAAAGGGGAAAAAATTGACAAACCGAACTGTAACAACTAAACAACTCGACATGAAAGACAACCGTTTCTTTTCTTTTTATTGACGACTTTTGAATGAGGCATTTATTAAATAACTAGTTATTTAAACGTATAAATAATTTATATGCACAATAATTTAGCACCAGCTGGCATACGTATCTTGTGAAACCTTTTTATGGACAAATAAAATCGTAATTAGTTGTTAATACCCTTTCGGGTTATTTGAGTAGATAAACAAGACAGAAAAATTCTCCAATTATATTGACTATAAATTAGCTTTAATGTTCAACCAATGAAGTCTATTCATCCATAATGTAGAACAATTCGGCATAACAAATATGAATTGTTATCGTTGGTTTGTTTTGAAATACTATTTAAAGTACGGCAATGTTTGGTTCTACATATAGTACATAGAAATCATGTGATCAGTTAAAGCTCATGCCAATATACTTATATACATACATATATACTCGTGCGAATACATACGCCCAAAGCAGACACTCATATCGGCCGATGGCCGTAGTAAACACAAGCCATTTGCCTGCTGACTCAATGCAAAGTGACTGAGGCCTGCAAAGAACTCAATCGGACTGCCAGCACCACCCTGTGGGAAAGCAGGCGGCTACCACAACCCAGTGCCACACTTTCGAACCTTCAAAGCCATGTCAACTGTCAACGCGAAAACGTGAGCAAGGTCCGTAGACTGAGAGTGTGAGAGTTGCTCTTACAAGGTCCAGACTAAATCAGACTCTCTCTCTCTCTCTCTCTCTCTCTCTCTCTCTCTCTCTCTTTTACAGCATCCGAAGTAATTCAGCAGCAAACAAGTTGCAAGCGAAAGCTTTTTATGCCTCAGCTTAAGCTTGGCTGAATGGTCATGCATGGCTCGCTCTCTCGCTCTCGCTCTTGCTCTCGCGTAAACTGAACGACATACATGGAGCACACACACACACACACACAGACACACATTCGTACGCATGCTGGCGAAGAGGTTCGCGAGAAAAGTTCCAGGAACGTCTCTAGCATCCCTCTAGCACAGTTGGTTCGCTTTTTGTGCAACGACATCGCAATCGAATCGAATCGAATTTAAGCGAAGCGAAGCGAAGCGAGTCTGCAAAGGCTCTGTGCTCGTGTGCTTTGGGACACGAAGCTGGGGCTCGTCGTGCGGCTCGTTGGCTGCAGCTCTAGACACTTCCAGTGTGGCTCGCACAGCTCCTGGCTGGCGAACATCGCATTCAGTTGGTGTTCCGGTTTCGGGTTGTGCTGTTAGTTGCCTTTTCCTGCACAGCAAAGTTCAGAAGCGTCGTGTGTGTTTGTTGTCTGTCGCTAAACTCTGTGTGTGTGTGTGTGCGTTTCCTACTTGTGTGTGCGTGCGTGCGTGCGTGTGTGTGTTGTGCAGCTAAACATATATACATCCAAATATATATATATATATATCTATATATATATATACATATATACACAATACAATATACATAGCACAAATACATTGGCAACGCAACGTACATGGGCAACATTTTTGTGAGCGTTAAAAAAGTTCATTAAAAACGGAAGATTTTTAATAATTATAACAAAATTAAAAAAAAAAAAAAACAAACCAAAGCCAAACAATGGCGAAAATACCGACAGTTTTTAAAAGCAGCTGCTGACCGAAACGCAAGTGAAAATCTTTGCAGGTAAATAAAATAGAAGAACAAAGAAAATATCAAATAAAGAAAAACAGAAAAGGTTAGCCACATAGCAGTTGGCCAAGCCACGATTTTTAGTCTTGGCTCAAGGTGCGTGAGTGTGCGTGTCACGGCGTATGTGTATCTGTGTGTGTCTGTGTGTGTGGAATGTATTGAATTGAAAATTTTTCTATTGTGTGCGTGCGCTTTCCAAGAGGAAATTGATATTCTTATTTCTTCTTGTGCTTTTGCAAAAAGCGAAAAAAATTACTCGTACAACGGAATGTGTGCGTGCCTGCTTTACTGCGGGTGCGTGTGCGAGTGTGTGTGTGTGTGCGAGTGTGTGTGTGTACGTGTCTGCTAAAGTTCTATCATCGTCGTCAGTAACATTGTTGTACACATATTTCTCGCCCTCTATCTATGCGCCCAAAATTTCACTGTTTGTTGCTTTCCCTTTTATTTTTATCGCTGCGGGAAACGAGGAACGATTTCAAAATTTTCTAATTGGCCATAAAAATTATTAGAAAAAGAAAATAGAAATTGCAGCCCACTTTATTTTAAATACTATACATATGGCTATCAATATTTCAAGTGCAAGGTTATTTGTGCGTTTCTCGCAGTCTCTGTGTGTGTGTTTGTTGTGTGTGTGTGTGAGTGTAAGATTGGGTGCGTTTGTGTGGGTGTGTAAATGTGTATAACAGGTGCCAAAAAAAAAAAAAAAAAAAAAAAAACGGAGAGTGTATGGCAACATTTGTGTAGCTACTATGTGGCTTCATTTTCTGACATTTCGAGGAAACCAGATGCCCAGCGCAAATGTCAACAAGTGAGGAATGTCGTGACCCAAGTGTTTTCAAAATATGACGCTCCCCTAATCCTTAAGTCGATCCAATTAGTCGAGCTACTTAAGATTTGTGTTGAAATGATGCTGCCTGCTGGATTGCGTTTTTATACTCTGCAGATGAAATGTTAATTTTTTGAACTTCTATCATTATTCTACACATACTATATGTACAGAGTATTTCAAAGTCGAGACATCCGACTTGTTTTTTTTTTTTTTGCTGATGTAGATATAGAAGAGAGAGTAGAGACTGATTTGTGTCATACACATATGTACTTTGCAAACAAAGGCTATGCTATAATAATATGATTTAGAAAGTCCTAACTGAAGTAATTTGATTAATAATCGTATAATTTTAAGCGACAACAAAGAAAGCAAAACTACTATTTTGAGGGAACAAATGAATGAAATATTGGAAAAGTTTTTTTTAAATTGTTATATGACCAGAATTTGTTCTTATTTCTTTATGATTTCATTGTTAATATACTATATATCATTAAAAAAATTCTTTTAGGAACGTTTAAGAACAAATTCATGTAATTTTTGATAAAAAAAAATCCAAAAAACTAGCACCACTATTATTTTGAGCACAGCAATATAATTATAGTTGAGTTGAGGGCGTTCGTACAGACCGACAATGCAATTGATAATGCCCTAATGGGGTCTAAATCGACGCTTTACTGATGCAGCTTTTGATATATTTTGAACTGATAGTCAGACATATTTAGTAAGTTGGTTAACAATTGGGTTTGACTACATTTGGAAGACTTTTTCCTTGCAGAAAGAATTTCTCGTTACAGAAAGATTTTATTTGGCCAACGTTTTTTTTGTACGTCAAGATTTTTTGGGAAAGTAGATTTTGAATAATTCACTACATCATTTTTTTCAGTGGTTACGTAAAATATTTTATTTATTATTTTATTTCATATTAATTTTGCTGTTTTTTTTTACCATAACTTACATTAAAGTGTTTACAAAAAACGTACAATTAACCTAAATCTAATTTAATCAATCTAAAAATACCAAGTATTTAAATTCCTTTTTTGTGGAAATTAGCGCAAAATACGATCGAACTTATAGCACAATTTTTATGTAAATGTAACGTGTTTTCTCCTTTTTTTCAGCATATAAATAAAGCAACGATAAACACAGAAAATGGAGGAAACAACTAAATGAGCAATATTTTGTCTGATCGAGTGAGAAGCACAAGAATGTTTAAACAAATCTGTGCACGCGCCCATAAATGAAATACAACTGAAATTTTAAAATTTTGAAGAGTGCGCGTAAAACTTCGAAACCAAAAAAAAAAAAACAAAGAAAAACCAAATCACTAGGAATTTGTTACAGAAGCAATTTAAGAAGGCTTAATAAAAAACATTTACAAAAAACCTAACAACATTAATTATCAAAAAAAAAAAACTAAAATAATTGAAAGGACACAAACATGTTTGCAGAACATAAGTTAAACTTTAAAATTGATTGTAAATATTGAAGCATAATAAATACTTTAAATGTAATTGTAAGGCATATACACAAATGGAAACATTTTGAATATTACTGATAATATACTCGAAATCAATTTC